ATACAAATTCACCATTAAACATGTTGAAAGAAAGAATGACATTAATAAGCGGATGACATCTTTGAAATATCCTTTTAGTTCTTAAACTTATCATTTGTGAGGTTGATTCATCGACTGACTTGAGTTTTTCTAATCATTAATCAGTCTGACTGCTTCTACAATGCTGGATGGACAGAAGATCTCCGGAAAGTAATTGATCACATCCATTCTCAGTTCCCAGAGGCTCCTCTTTTTGCTGTTGGAACAAGCATTGGTGCCAACGTTCTGGTATATAACGCCTCTCTTTTACCTTCAATACCCTTAGTCTTGCATCAAAAGAGAGAAATGTCATGGCGATTCATTATTAGTTCTAAAGGCATAACGTTTTGATATCTCAAATTTTTATTGATACATTAAAACTCAGTGCAACCTTAATTCCAGGTTAAATATCTTGGGGAGGATGGGCCTAACACACCTCTTGTTGGAGCTACTGCTGTGTGCTCTCCATGGGATCTTTTGGTCAGTTCAATCTTACGTCCACTCTAACACTGACACTCTGTGATATTGCCCCCAAAATTTGAATAATCCGTCCAGAGAATCTTGAAAAAGAAAACCAACCATGCCTTACTGTTTAAAGTGATTCCTTGTTTCATGGCAGATATGTGATCGATTTATCAATCGCAAACCCGTGCAAAAACTCTATGACAGAGCGCTTACTGTTGGTCTACAAGGCTATGCACAATTGTACGTCTAGATTCTTGTCTTGTATAGTTACAAGTTTGTATATATTTTTACCTGCTTTTGTCTCGCTTTAGTCATGTCTCTCTTGTTCACTTGCCTGCAGGCACCACTCAGTCATTTCTCGTTTAGCCGATTGGGACGGCATTAAGAAGGTAGATTCTGATTTTCTCTTATCTATTTGCCAAATTGACTTCAAAGATTCATTCGTTTTGTGCCTTGTTGTTTCAGTCACGTTCGGTTCGAGAGTTTGACAACTATGCCACAAGACTTGTTGGCAAATTTGAGGTACTGTTCTGTTTGTTACATATTTCTCTGTATCCTTTTGTTTATCTACCCTCTCTTTCCATTAAACCAGTAGCAAAAACTCAAAATCTTTAATGCTGCAGACAACTGATACATACTATAGACATTCAAGCAGTGCGCAATACGTGGGAAATGTCGCTATTCCACTCCTTTGTATCAGTGCTTTAGATGATCCAGTTTGTACTAAGGAAGCTATTCCATGGGATGAATGTAGGTAAAAAAATCTCTTTGCTCTTTGCCCTTTTGCTCTGTTTCATCAAGTCAAGAAGTAAAACAGCTTCAGGCATAGTCTTGACGAAATTTCATGAGTTTCTTGGCTGTATCTTTCTGTATACTTTTACAGGGGAAACAAAAACATAGTTTTAGCAACCACAACACATGGTGGTCATCTTGCTTACTATGAAGGTTTTACAGCAACAAGCATCTGGTAAACAATTTCTGCGTAAACCCGCGCTCTTAGATACTCTGTTCTCATACTCTATCCACTAGGAGTGTAAGTCAAACCTGTGGAACTGAAATGTGTAGGTGGGTTAGGGCTGTGCAAGAATATTTTGAAGTGCTACTCTCAAGCCCTTATGCAGATAGAAGACAGAAGGTACAAGAAAACTGGCTTTTAGTCCATTACCATCACATGATCCAATCTCTTCTAAAACATTGATCGTATCATTCTTTCAGACGCAGATCATCCCGGAACCATTGGAATCTTCGATTGATCAGGGAGCGTTTGTTGTGGATACTGAAGCAGATGGGATGATTGCTGCTGCACCAGCTAGTGAAGTGGAGACAACAAGAGCTGATACAGAAGAACAAGAGAATATTGCTCTAACTGAGAAGACAAGTAACCATCTTCCACCTAAAGACAACACACCTCAAGGTTATAACAGTTTACTCGGTCCTTTAAAGAAGAGAGTGGATCAGCTTTCGAGATATAGCCGGAAATCGATCTGGCTATTAGTGTATATTGCTATAGTCACCACATGGCCGCTTCTTGGACCTGCGTTTTTGCTATCAATCAGGAAAAGATTCAGAAGGCTCATCGAAAAATAGAAATCGTGCACTATAGCAAAATATAATAACTCTATAGACAGTCTTTGTACCATTAATACCTTATGATTGTATTTCATTTGTAAACCTACTTGAGACAAGGCTGCAACAAGCCATTTGCCATATCAATACTATTCAAAGCTCTCATCGTAAACATGAAAAAACTCCATAGTCTTTTAAAAAATGGTATTTCAAAAGAGAAGAGAATGGAAATCAAAAGCAGGCTACTGAGTAAAAACATGTAACAATGTTGGCTATGTTGTTTTGAGTTCAAAGAGAGTAATAAGTCTTAAAGAAAAAACACTTGAGCTTATTTAAGCTAGTGACGGCTCATCTTAGCTTTAGGCACAGCCTTTTTCACTTGCCTTGCTCTATCTTTTGCTTCTTTCTTCCTCAACACTTCGGCGCTCATCTTTGCTTCCGCTTCTTCCATCATTTTCCTCCTTTCTGCTTTCTTCTTCTGCAACGCCTCTTGCCTCGCGTTCTGTAGTTCCTTATAAGCTTCCTCTGCTGCCTTTTGCCTACCACTCTCACTTTTGTTCCGCGCCTTCATTAAAACACTTTAAAACTCAGCTTTCTCCAAAAAACAGGCTCTAAACTAGTACAAGTTTGCAACTTTTTACCTGTGAGCTGAGTCTGTACCGTCCTACTAAGTCGATGTAATACGGAATTAGCGCCACTAGCCGAACAAGATCATCCATATGTTTAGCGTCCGGTAAGGAAAACTTGAAAAGCATCATCTTCCTGTGTTTGCCTTGGTGTTGGTCAGATATATGCATCGACATGAAATTCTTCCCATACTTCTCCATTGCCTTGTCTCCGAAAACCTACAAAGGTATGTGACAGAGATCAATAAAGTGCACCATTAAGCTATATACAAATCTGGAATTAAATCAAATCAAGGTTCATATGAAAGTGATTACAAACAGAGATATAGAGCCATGGAGCAAACTCCATTACAGAAATAGTAAGGTCATGATGCTTAACGATACTAAGCATTAACATTTTTTACACTTACCTCACTATAAAGCAATAAGGCCTATTCAAGAACAGTCCGAATTGTCTGCAAATGAAATTAAACTCAGAAATGAGCCAGATTGTGACTACTAGTTCTCAATCTTCTTCCTCTGTCCTAAAGATTGGTTCTTTGCTAACTAAAGCAAATACACAGATCCAGTTCTACTGTAGAATCTGAGAGAGATTGAGAGAGAGAAGATTCGTACCTGATCAAGCACGGTGTCTGTGATCATATCTCCAGCAACTTCCTTAGACTCAGAGATCACAGCTAGCTCCTCCGATACCCATTTCCTCCCGGCGGGAGAAGACACAATCCCGGCGAATCTCTGCAGATCCTTCACCTCTTTTAGCATCGTTTTCGCAGCTTTCTTCTTGGCCATCGCAAACACGACATGATCCATTGTTTCCTCGTTCATGTAAACCTCAAAGGTGATCTCATCTTTACAAGGCACCACCAAGTTAAAAACTCTCGAGATCAGATCGTGCCTGCTCTTGAGCTCCATCGTAGCCAACAATCCATGGCAGTACCTGCGACCACTCGCGTAGAATTTGAACACGTTCAACGCTTCTTTGAGCAACAATGGCGATTCCTCTCCGTCACCAACTCCCAACAAGCTGAAGTTCTTCTGGAATATAGTGTCCTTTGAAGCGAATTTCGCCGCCCAGGCTAAAGCGAGACTCTCGTTCTCGCGTTTGCCGACGAAGTAGTTGACGGCGAGCGCGATTAAGAAACAGACGCAAGCGATCTCCACTGCGTACAACTTCTTCTTCCTCCACGATACCTTAGTGCCTTGAGCTGTCGAGGAGGCGGTTTCGGGATCTACCGTCTGTGTAGCGTTTTCTGCAATCAACGGAGACTCTAGCGTCTCTGCCGGCGGCGCTTCCTTCTCCGGCAATCCTTCGAACTCGTCTTCATCCCAGAATTCGAACGGTGTAGAAGAGGGGTTTTTGGGATCGGATTCAGGCTCGGCGTCTGATTCAGGGATGAGATCGGAGTTAGAGTCGTCGGAAGATGGTTCTGGATCGGGGAGTGATGAGTGAGACTGGGTGATAGTAGGCGGAGTGAGAGAGTGAGGAATGGTAGACGAATCTTCGGAGACATCGTCGTCTTCAGCATCGAATCCTTCGAATTGAGAAGCTGAGAGAAGATGCTGATGAAGAGAAAGGTAGAAGATGAGAGCTAAGGAGAAGAATGCTAAAGATTTTCTCATTGTTGAAGAAAAAAATGAAGTAAACAAACATGAAAAGCTTTGTTTCTTCAAGGGAACACTTATATGACTAAGTATGAAGAATATGTGTTAAGCAAAATTGATCATTTTGGTGTTAAGCATGAATATGTGGAAAGCAAGATTTAAGACTTATAGATAACCAAAAATGTTTGAAGACTTATTTTGGGGATAATATATATCAAATGTCAACACAGTATCTATACATAACAGGACTATACAAAGAAAAGAGAGAGATACAAAAAGAGTGGTCTTTGCATTTGAAGTCACTGTGGTTTCTACTTTCTATATAAGTTGAACAGCTGCAATGGATGGAATTTTCTCTCTGAGTTTCTGAGTTACAGCTACTCGAACAGTCATGACTCCAGCAGCAGGACCTGTGATTCTTATCTTCACGATCGGGTCTTCGATCTCCACAAGCTCCAGCGACCCATCAGCTGTTCCGATTAAGTAAGGCCTGATTTCTTCCAGCACCTATAAACAAGCAAATAAACGCACACTTGAGTCTTGTAACATCACACATCAACTCCAAAGGATTATATAACGCATGAAGATTTACTTGTGTAACATAAGTTACATAACCACAGCAGAGCAATTAAGCAACCTAGAGACTCTACCAAAACTAACCTTCTTCATGTTTTCCTCATTCAGTTCTAAGGAGCGACAGTATTTGAACAAAAAGTTATGGATTTGAGCAAGTTATAACACACACAGCTTCTACCCAAAAGCTAACCTTTCCAATATTTTCTTCATTCAGTTCAATTCAAGCCATTATTAAAACAGTAGTTGAACCAAAAAAAGATGGAACTGAGCAAGTCATACACAACTACAAACGCAGAGAACTTAAGCAACCTATAATTTATACCAAAACATAACCTTTTCAATGTTTTCCTCATTCAATGATAGGTTCAACCATGTATGCTGAGAACTTAAGCATCCTAGAGCTCATACAAAAACTAACATTCTCCATGTTTTTGTCACTCAGTTCAAAATGGGAAAATAAAGTATTTGAGCAAACAATACTGAGAACTTAAACAACACTGAGAACTTAAATATGGTTTTTGTAACGCCGTCATGAGTTTAAGGCGTAACAACTAACAACACGACCACACATGCAGCGAACTTAAACAACATAGAGCTTATACCAAAATCTAAGCTTCTTGATGTTTTTCTTTACAGTTCAAGGCGCAAAATAACAGTATATGAACAATAAAAACACACAAGCACATATGCAGAGAGCTTACGCAACCAATAGCTTATACAAAAATCTAACCTTTTCAATGTTTTCGTCATTGAGTTCAAGGCCAGTCTCTTCATCCGGAACTGCTTCCACAGCCACTATCTCAGGCATCTTTTCCATTAAACGACGCTCGATTCCCATCTTCATTGTCATAGTAGAACTCGGACACGATCCGCACGCTCCCTGCAACTTTACTCTCACAATGTTTCCATCGATCTCGTGTAACGCCACATTACCACCATCAGACATTAGGTATGGCCGTATTTCGTCCAAAACGCTTTCAACATTTTCTTCTGTCAAAGGTACTTCCAAGACTGATTCTGGAGTTGCCACTGCCTTTACATCTGTTCAAAATTCCAGAAATCAAAAACCAAATATTATATTTCATATTTCTCCAGGAGAAGATCAATGCACAGAAAGCAATCATACACTGTAACAAATCTATGCTAAAACGGATATCAAATTAGAGAAAAGTGTCTAAGAGAGATAATTGAAATTATATCTATATTCCTCAAGCAATCCAAACTAAGAAGAGAGAAACTAATCACAACATACAACTCGAGCTGAGTTCATTAGAATCTAAATTTGAGAAATCTTTCTAACCGGAGAGGGAGAGAGAGAGAGAGAGAGAGAGAGAGAGAGAGAGAGAGAGAGAAGGATTCTGACCTAGGGGTCGTCGATTGGAGAGAGATCGAGATAATTCCCGGCGGAGTGGATTTAGAGACGTAGCTACGAGACCAAAATCGCGTTGGGATCTCAACCTCTGTCGAAGAATTCGGGTCAGAGATTCGTATGTTAAAAGAAGGCCAAGAGTAACAAAAATTCAAAATCCAAAATCACCTGAGAAGAAGAAAGAAGACGAGAGAAAGAGTGAAAAGATGAAGGGTGTAGGGCTTGTGGCGACGACCTGGAAATGATTGCCGGATTTAGCGCCAGCAATTGCATATCTCCTCGGCTTTGCGTTTCTGATTCGAGAAATTCTAATTGGCGGCGGCTTTGATTTCGGAAATGTGACGACGGAGATTCTCTTTTATCCTTCCCGGAGAAAAAAACAAACTCAAACTACAATTTTGCCCCTCAAGTGTTTATAAATAAAAAAAACTATTGATTTGTTTTTTTAAGTCAGAAATAATTGATATTGCCCGTGAAGTCTTTTCTACGAATTTTGGAGTTTCACATGAGACATCATCTCTTTTGTCCCTCCATCTCTTAGGACAATCACAAATATCTCAAGTTAATCTCTTGTATCCTTCCTCCTTGTTTAATTACGAAAATTGTCTTAATAAATTCTGAAAAATTAATTCAAAATTAAAAATAGAAAAACAAGTTTGGCATTTTGGTTGGTTGGGCGTTTGGCATCGGGATTTCAGAATCCGTGTTTGCTTTCTCTCTCTTTCCTCCCATCTTTACTCTCTCTCCTCTCCTCTCTCCTCGGGCTCTCCTCCATCTTCCAGATCGAGCTCTCTGAAGCTCATCCGGTCGTCCCAAGCTCCTTCTTTCCCTGTCAATCATAATCTCGTTGCTTCGTACCATAGTCGGCGTAATTCGCAGCCGCAGGGAGTAAAAAACAACTCAGGTATGTTCAGTTGTTCATAGTTGGAATTCGTCATTTTTTCTCTTGAATAAATCAGACAATTGGGTGTTTAGCAATGCTTTGTGGGTCGATTAGTATTTCTGCATTAGCAAAGAACATAATGCAGGCCTTGAATCGAAGCGAACCGTAAGTAGAAGAGTGAGCTAGTTTTAGGAATCTCCGCCGATAGTACAACTGAGTATAACTCGTATAACTAATTGTGATAGTATAACTAGGTAAATTAAGTATAACTTTGTATAAGTATAACTACGAAATGAATTTGCAGCTTCAAAAATCATATCTTGTGTTTCTATATCACAGTTTTTGGATAATTAAAGTTATATTTGGCAAATTAATTGCATTGATTTATCAGAATTGGTTTAGCCCAAAATCGTGAAACTTGGTAGAACTGGTATAATTGGTATAACTTTGTGATGTAAAAATGCATAACTGTGTAAAACTAGTAATACTGATAAAGTTTTGACTTTGTTTTGGTAGGATACGATGGGTGACGACGTCAGCTTACATTTCAAATGCAAAGGTATCTTGTACAGTTTATTGGTGAAGACATCAACGAACGAGATAACACTATTGATGGTAAAAGCTTTGATATGCAAGAAGTTTGGGTGGGATGAAAAAATGGTGGAATTGAAATTGAGATACATTCCCCTGATTGTAAGATGCGACGAATACACGACCGTAGCTCTGATGACGATCTCAGGTGCTATCTAAGCATTTGATCCCCAAGGCTGTAGATGTATGTTGCATGTAGAGGTCAGGGCTTCCTCAACACAGCCCACGGCGCAAGTATCTAGAGCAGAGAAGGAAAGTTCTGTTGGTGTGAACTATATTGATGAAATTGGAGGTAATGTTGTGGCTCTATATGTAGGCAACAACTGTCGAAGCAGAACAAGAATAGGAGGCAGAACAACAAGAGGAGGCAGAAAAAGAAGAGGATGCAGAATATGAAGAGGAAGCAGAAAAAGAAGCTCAGGAGATGGATGAGGATGATGTTACAGGCGAATATAGGCACAACGAATATGATGAACCACCTGTTGTACTAGCTAGTCAGTATACAGAGCCATGGGAAGATGGTTTGAATGTCAGATTACTTCAAGAGTTTCCAAATAAGAAGGCAGTGCAGAGAATGGTGGATAAAGCTGCATTTGAGAACTCTTTTGGTTTTGTGCTAGTGAAATCAGATAAGGAACATATGTGGTGAAATGTCAACATAAAAGTGTGAGTGGAAATTACGAGCTGCAAAGGTACTAAATACACGGTTTTCTTTCTCAATTAGAACGCACCACAAGATGCATACATGCTCCCGGCTAGTCAGAGTACAGTAAAGAAGAGGAAAGGTATGTTGGAACTCATTTTTGATAGTATATTATATGTCAAAAATGAAGTTGGTTTGAATGAGAAATGGAAGTCCAAGTGGGTTGCTTGTATAGCATAAAATGTAACATTTATTAAATGTCCCACATTGGAAGTTTGAGGTGAAATCCTCTTGTATATAAAGTGGAGAATTTAAAGTAAAGTTTAAAAAACTTGTGTACACTTAAGTGTATTGGAGAAAAGAAATACCGGGATTGGTATTGTATCTCGGGCCTCATGATTAGTAATCGGGCCAAGGTTCTAAAGATTATTCTTTTTGACCAGAAATTCTTGTTGAATTTTTTGTGTTGATTAAGTCAACAAATGGTTTCTCCAATTAGTTTTGTCAAATGACAATTAAATGCAAAGTCAATTGTTGTTGATTTTGTAACATAAAAAACTTAAGTTACTTTGAAAGAATAATTATAATAATGAATTCTTGATCTCCCTTTAATTGCTGCATGTTACCAACGTAGCATAATGGCTATATAAGCCATGGTTTCTCCATTTGTGAAAAAAGAGATTAATCACACATCAAACACAAGAAACAATTCCTCACTTCTCTTCTTTTTATTTTGGTTTTTTCTTATGAGAGTACATCACAGAAAACATGGTTCGCAAACTTATGTATTGAGTGATGCAATCATAAGAAGTATGCAGTTTTATCCTGGGATTCGGAATGCCATGCAACCGTCACACTACGGGGCGTTTACAGAATTAAGGAAAGAGATCATATCTCGACTCTGTAAATCCGGTTTTGTTTCCTTAATTCTTGTTTATTTTGTATCATTTTAATATTATGTTATATTAATTTGTTCATATTTATACTTTACATTAATCAATCGCCCATTGTAGAAATTGCGTTCCTACAAGGTATTCCAGATTTAGTTGCATGTTTGTTGATCTTTGGACTAATGAGACTTAAAGCTTCTCTAGCCCAAGTCAGTTTTAAATAAGTACTCTCTCTGGTGATTGGTGAAGAAAGTGGTTCACCATACTCTTGAAGACAGCCAACATAGTTCAACCCAAAAAACTCATAGACGCTATGCAAATTTTTATACTTTTGATAGTATAATAAAGAAAAATTGCAAAAAAGCCTTTTTTTTAAAGCCTTAATATCTAACTAAAGTTTTTGAAAAAATACATGACCCAGTGCAAATGCATTTTGGGCACATGCCAAGGGCCGAGCTGCTCGTAAACTAGAGTCAACAAACAGAGTGGATATGCACCTTGTCGAGATCTTGAGGTATTCTTGTTGATTGTTCCTATAACAATTTTGATATACTTGTGTTGATTCTATGCTTATGTGATTATCTTTTTTTGAAACTTTTTGGGAAACCAATATTCAAGATATTTGGGAAGAGACCAACATGATTGAAAACTACGCAAAACTAAGAGCACCCATCCCAGAGATTGTAAGGGGTTATGACCTGAAAAAATAAGAAAAATATTGAAAATAAATGATGTGTCACTCAAAAACTAAGCAGAGTGGATTCTACTGGAAGAGTTTAAAGAAACAAGTACGAAGGAAAACTCTACATGTGTCACAACTTGATTATTTTTTTTTTAAAAAAAATCTTCTTTTTTGTTAAGGAAAAACTTTTTTTTTAAATAATAAAAGAAGTTTTAGAGCTCTTTTCTCAGCTCTGTGATGTGGGTGCTCTAAGCTAGTTAGCAAGTTTCAAGCAGGCAAGATCCAAAGAACTTATTTTTGATAAAATGTCACAACTCGAACTATGAGGCCATGTATCAAGCGTGTTTTTTTTTTTTTTGTCGTCGTATCAAGCGTGTTTAATATTACTAGGTTATCTCAGTATTTAAAGCCGTGTAATTGAATATTCAAGATCTTATATTTCTGGTAGTACATGTATCTGGATTCGCATGCAAGAGAGTCTGATTCAGATAATGTGCGCCAAAACCTAACAGACCTAATTGTATAAAATCTTATCTTAACTCTAAAAAATCATTAAAAATCTTACGACTATTGATGGCCGTTAGACGTTTACATTTCCGTTATTCTGAGCCCTCACTAATTGAAAAGCACCAATAAGGAATCAACTATTGATTTTGAACTGGCCAAACACAAATCAAGTAAAAGCACATATAAGAAGCACCATTATCATCCTTGCTCTTTTCTTCATCAACTTCTTATTTCTTAGAGAAATTGGGCAAAAATATAGTTTTGTACATGTTTGTTATTGTACAAGTCGGTATATTTTGATGTTTTTTATATAGAAAACAAGGTAAAACACTGTAACTTAGCAACGAATCATAACAAGAGACATATGTTTGCACCAGTGGATTTTTATTCTAGCATATGTTTGCACTCGTGGATTTATATTCTAGCACGTGAAAGTGATTGAGACCAGATTATAGTTATTAACGTGGCAATGAATCAAAACTTTTCTCATCAACCTCAAAAAAAAAACTAAAACACACGTACGATGTGAGGTATTTTAGGAGCAATGCTATTATGCTATGAGACCAGATTATAGTTATAAAATCATCGTCCTTCACTGTCATTTTCAACGTGATTGTTTTTTTTTTTGAGCTTGTAACATTTCAGCAATCTGAAAAATATGCATTGAAAATCCAAAACTAGAGAAGGGAACAAAATTTGAAACCCAGCATAATCTTGTTTTCCAAAATTCATAAGACGGGGACTGGTTTTACTAATGCTCTTAAGTCGTAGCAAGTAACTAAGCAAGTAAAGATGACCCATAAACCTAAAAAATAAAAGCCATAAAGATTTGTCAACAATCATATATCAAAGGGTCAAAACGTATCTTGAATGGTTTGTTTTCACCAGCACGTTTGCCTTTACCATGAAAAGCACCAATAGGTCTAAGAACCACAGAATCCACAATGCTGCATGTATATTATAATCCTAACGTCAATCATTATAAATTAAACTTTTGATAACATTTTTTTATTATCAGAAGACTACATATTATTATGTCCATAGTGTTTTCTTCAATTATAGCCAATGATTTGATAGCTTTTCCAGCTCATAGGTTGCATCCGAGTTCAATTGACCAAACCTTCACAGTGCAACATAACATGTATCGCTCCTACTCAATGTCGGCTTTGATTGGGCCGATGGTTCGACTTTCATTTATTGAATGGTTTTCTTCTTATTTTTCTTCAAAAATTCATCTTCCCAATCGACATTATTTGTGCTGGAAGATGACGAATCGTTACTTGTAATGATGGTATTATCATTCAGCAACCTGATTAGACAAATAAGAAGTTAGTATGAGACATATTAAACCCTCTTAAAAATATTAACAATACATCAAGATTATAAAATATACCTTGATATGAAGTCTTCAACCTAAGGAGTTGGTGGATTGAAAAACAGTTGTGTTGCGTTGTAGGAGTTGGATATGCTAAAAACGTCTGTAAAATAGGCCGAGTTAGCATATGATAAAAAACAATCGTTCCCTAATATATATATTTTCAATTAAAGTGAGTTGCATCTAAGTACCTCTCCATTCATTGACACATGCAAACCGAACAACACAGATTATCTTTCTTTCCTTATTAGCACCAATATAATCAATGACTTCTTTTCCGAAATCATTCCACAAAGTGCATGTCAACCTATTATCACTGCCAACAATACAAATTTTTCAGCGATTATTTTATTACCATATTCAAATATATATTTTACAATACTTACTCTTGATCATGCAAAGTAATATCCAGTTTCTTAAGTGTCTTCCCTCTGACTTGTTTCTCCTCCATCTTTTTGATGTTTGTTATTTGACCGATAAGATTTCCAAAACAAACACATCAGAATCAAACCAATAAAAACTTTGAAAGATTTAATAATATAATGAATTTAACGTACCTATCAGAACTTCATTATTATAAAGTCCTGCATGTATATTTGTAGTTGTTCGTCAGATTAACGCTGAAACCTTCACATGAGACAATATTTGTTGTTGTGTAGAACGTTATCTTGAAATCCAGCGGATTAGTTCGATAGAGGGTGTTGTAATCATAGAAATTGAAATTGTTGATTACATACGAACTATTCTCCACGATCTTTCCTTCAAACTTTTTAACATATGCCTCGTCAATGGAAGCATGGATTCTAGTACCCTGCATATTTGATTGAAAAATATTAAAACAAAATCATTATATGAGTAGATGAGAGATAGATATTTTTATTAGCTATAACGATGAACAAACTTACGTCTTCGTCGACCAAGACAATCTCAATGCCTGAGATCTTCTTGCCACTTTGCAAATTCGACTTCTTCATCACTTGGACTTTGATCTTGTAATTGGTCATCTCTCTATTAATGTCAACGATCTTGACCATGAGAGTTAGTTTCTTTTTGAGAAACAACATATCCATCATTGCAAGAGAGAATGTTTTTTCAAATTAAGGGCGATATGAATTTGTCAAAAAGAAGATCCTTATAAATACTCGAGATTAGGTCGGTTTGAAACTATGATTATCCTTTTTTAGAAAGAAGTTGTTTAGTGTATATTATTAATGAAACTTCTAATACTATCGTATATAGAAAATTTATCTTTAATATTTTATATATAAATACACGGATAATTTCGATTTCTTGTAACTTCCAAATCATTATCGTGATCTAAATAGTAAATATACCATTTGTTAAAAGCTTATCAATATATATTACTTTTTAATTAAATAATGCTGGGTCTTGGTAACTCCGGCCGTGGGGATCGTGTGGGATCAGGTCCGGTTCCCAAAGTGGATGTTGGTGTTGTGATTCATCTCCAAGTACCTATAAACACAAGATTTAAAAAGAAAAAGTTAGTATTCGAAAATACCAAGATCTAGACTTAGTTTTAAACAAGACTATGCAAGTGTTTATGATGCAATCCCCGGCAACGGCGCCAAAAACTTGATATCGCTGCATCTTATGGGATGAGTACAAGTAATAATTCCCTAAGACAACTAGTGTTGCAAGTGCACAACATATAATTGTAGTATTTAGGGGTCGAACCACAAGGGATTGGATTTCACACATTACATAATCATAGAGTTTCAAATGACTAAGCTAAATCAAAAGATGCAAGGGTTTGTGTTTGTTTAGAACACGCAAAAGCAAATAACAATGCAATTCTATACAAGCAACATTATTGAACTATTGAAAACTCTTTTGAAAACATGAGCCAAGTCGATTGAAAAGTTTGTTAAAATCCGATTCTTTTGAACTCAAAACACTAAGGAAGGATTATTCCACTTTCGTGGTTCCAATCCCCTATGTCTCTTAAACCAATGGGCTCAGCTTTCGTTGGTCATTGTAGAGTGAGACATGCATTACATCCAAGTAATGATTGTTCACAAAACTCTTTAGGTCTACTTTCGTAGCCTAAAACGATTTGCCCATCAAATATTGTGTCCGGAGATATAACAAGCTTTTGGAGAGTATATCAACCTAAAATCAAGTCACTAGTTAGCTACTCTAGCAACAAGCATTAAGCATAAATAAAGATGGAGAACCATAGGGTTTCCCCTTTTAACAATCGATTCAAGATGGCCATTATATCACGTCCTCATTGGAAGGATCCATAATTCAACAATGAGTCTTAGATAGTAGATGAAGTCTCATGAATCCTTAGAGAGAGAGGCGGCGGAATATGGACTAAACCCGCCTCACCCTTAGGGAGAAATCTCTACTTCTAGACTATATAAATTGAAACATGCAAGCTATATACAAATGCAAAAGAAGAAAAGAAAGAAGAAGGAGACCACCTAAGTGGCTCCGAACTTTATTGAATAAGTGTTTCTTGTTATGCGGCTGGTGATTCTTATTACAAGAGGCTAAAAGCAAGTATATATAGGTAGAGAGCGGGTCTAGGTCGGCAAAGTTGAGCGCGCGCAGAAGAGGAAAGTTTCCATTTCTCTTTAGCCGCTTGAGCTTGCTCTCCAAGTTCTTGAATGGGCCGCGTTCAGGCCAATGGAAGCTTCTGGATTGAGTTATGCTAGTGTCAAGATGAGCCAAGGCCTTGGGCGCGGTATCTCGGGCCTCTTGATCCATCAAAGTCTCCATGGGCTCTACTTAGGCGCTCGTCGGACATGTCTTGGTAGAAAATAAGTTCCGGTCCAACGAGTGATCCAAATGACCTCTTTCCACTTCGCCGCGGGTCATGACTCAAATATCTATCTTTCCATATAAGAAACATGACTTTTGGACGTCGGGAAGGCATGAATATGCGGTCGTACTTCGGATGCTCCGGTTTGGTCTTTAGCGAGAAATGTAGATTTGGTGCTCTAGACTTGGGAACTTGGTGATTTGACTCTTTTTGCTCCATTTTGACTCTTCTTTGCTATTTTGACCTGAATGATGCTCAAAACCAGAATATACAAGAAAACTACCTCTTGGGCATAAAAACCACATTATTTGTATTAAAAACATAGTGAAAACCTTGATAAAAACATGAAAGATATGGGTATATCAACTCCCCCAGACTTAGCCTTTTGCTTGTCCCCAAGCAAACTAAGAGAGGAAGAGAGGTTTGAAAACGCAAGAACTCTCAAATCATTAGGAAATCCGGGTTGGCTTAGTTTTAGTAATCCACATGAAAGTAGTAAAGGCAAATATTTGAATTAAGAACAAGAGTACATACCATGAGTTTTGCGATTTTTCCAAGGCGGCCCACCTCTCTTTGGACAATCCAATTCACCCTCCTTGACTCCTTTCATTTCTAAAGGTGTGGTCTCAACTAGGGAGTATCGATCAGCCGGCTTTAGACTCTTTCTCATTGATATACACATATATTAACATACATTAGCATACATTTTACATGCATATTTCCATCCTATTGGCATATTCTCATACATTTACATCCTCATATCTCTATTTATACATTTGCATCTTCATTAGGACTTGCATTGCATATACATTGCATTTTGAGTCTATCAGGTACTTAATGGAGCTTTGGAGCCATTTGGGAGAAGGAGTGTTGGAGACGTCAAGACCAAGAGCAACCAGGATGCGAACCAGGATCAGGAACCCGTTTGTCACCTTTCCTTGACCAAGAAGAGAGTTGACCACATCCAAGTGAAACGCGGCGTTTTGGAGCTTAAATCTTGGGGAAGGAAAGAAGAAGGGTTTTAGAGAGTCTCCACTATATAAACTTAAAAGTCCTAACTTTTTAGGCACCTTGTAATTTGTCTTTCATTTTGCCACCAAGAAATACTCTAAGTTGAGATCTAAACTTTGTAAGCTTTGGTCTCTTTCTCTTAATCAAATCACGTACTTGCATATTTCATTATTGCATCTCACTCACTTGTTTGACAACTCTTCCTCTTTGGAATCGGTTTGTTCAAAGCATGAGTGAGTAGTCTTTAGATTGTTTTAGGTGATTGGGTTTGAGAGCTAGAAGAGAGTTTTGAGTTAAAGCTAGGACCTTTTGAGTTTCTCCTTCTCTAGTATCCTTAAGCCTTGCCATTTCTGATCATTCTGGCTCGGATCTCAAGCTCTCAACGCAACAAAAGTGCGTTTGAGAGTTGGAAAATCTAAGACAAGGGATCTACTTCTCTAGCCCGCGATAGCGGTTTGTTTAGAGGGTTCTTTGGTGTTGGGATCTGCGTTAAAGCTTGCTTGTGTACAAGCTCACTGACGATAGTCAGCTCTTGAGTTTGACCTTGCATTTGAGCTCTCACGATAGTGATAAGCTCTTGCTTTCGTTTTCCTTAGCCTAGAAACTCGGTTTTATCTTTATGTCTTAAAGTCTCTTCCTTTAGCTCGATTTCCATCCAAATCACCTAAAGCCATCGCCTTTCTCTTTCTTTCAAAGTTCAAGTCTTTTAGCTCAAAGTCGATTTCTTTCCTCTTTGAATCTTGATTTGGACCGTTATTTCACTGTTCTAAGTTTGTTTTTACTGTTTTAACGTTCGGATTTCATAAAAACCAAATCTTGTTCTTGGCTTGAAGTTTCTTGCAATCTTTAGAACCCAATCTTCCCTGAGATTTGGATTGATACCTTAAACTATACTGCAATGATATGAGCAGAGATTTGAGGGTTTGATCTACTAAAAATCTTGTTTTCAAACTGGCGCCGTTGCCAATCTTGGGGATTTGATTGGGATTTTTCGATTTTGGAAAAATTCAAGTTCAAGTTTTTAAATTTCTGCAACTTACTCACCTAATCTGCCTGGGCTTTGCTTTCTCTTACTCTCAGGTGTATGCAAACACGCTCTCGCGGCAAATCAAACTTGTTAAGCTCCGACGAACTTCAACGAGCTGAACGAGCTAAACGCGAGCGTCAACGGCAGAACAGAGTAGAAGCAGAGTCGAGTTCAGGATTTCAGACAGGCTCCGAGTTACAACTCAGTGACGACGACTCTGGTACTGAGACGATGGCAGATAACCACGGAGGAGTTCCTCCACCGGGAGCTTTTCCACCACAAGCCGGGAATCCAGCTCAAGCTCAACGTCCGGCAAGACAAATCGGAGCTGGCGATATTCCGACGATTCCAGCGAATCGTCCCGGCATTACCCCACCACCAGTCCCAAATTTCAACTTCGACATCAAGACAAGCTTGATAAACTTGGTGGAGAATTCCATCTTTCACGGAATGAAAGATGAAGATCCTTTGAAGCACTTGGAAAAGTTTGATAGAATTTGTGCTTTGCAAAAGATCAACAACGTCACTGAGGATGCTCTTAAGCTCCGATTGTTCCCTTCTCTTTGAGTGGACACGCACTAGCTTGGGAGTCTTCAATCCAACCTGGAACCGTGACAACTTGGGAACAATGCAAGCATGCCTTTCTTGCGAAGTTCTTTCCCACGTCAAGAACTGCTCAGCTAAGGAACAACATTGCGAGCTTCACTCAACAAACCGGTGAAACATTCTCAGAGGCATATGAGCGATTCAAGGGATATCAAATGAAGTGTCCTCATCACGGCTTCTCCAAAGAGAACTTACTAAGCACGTTGTACAGAGGAATCTCCCCTAAGTACAAGATGCATTTGGATTCAGCTAGTAAGGGTCATTTTATGGGATGGATGTAGATGATGGGCTCGCTTTGGTGGAGAATGTTGCTCTTAGTGATGGAAACTATCCAGAGGAGTATGATCGAAGTGATAGAGGAGATAGCTCAGTCAATGATGAGAAGCACAAGAAGGAGATCAAAACATTGAATGACAAGCTTGACAAGATCTTGACTGGCCAACAAAAGCAAGTTCACTTTGTTTGTGAGGATGATGTGAACCAAGAGGGGGAGGACCAACAAACTGAGGAAGTGTGCTATATGAGTAATCAGGGAGGTTACTACAAGGGTTACAACACAAACAACAACACGAACCTCTCTTACCGCAGCACCAATGTGGAGAATCCACAAGACCAGGTCTACCCACCTCAACAAAACCAAAATCAAGGGGGCCAACAAACTGTTTACTTCAAGCGTGGTTACCCACCAAAGGTTTTTGGGAATCAGAACCAAGGTCAACTCAAGCTCAAGCAGGGAGCAACTCAAGTCAA